TACATGGATAGATAATTGGTTACAGGAACAGGTACTATTTACTGATCTCTGTTCTCTGTGTCACACCACTGACCTGGCGGAGTTAAGGGCGGGGCACGGTAGGGGTCAGGTGGGGCGACTGGTGGCGAGTAACTGTTAAGGCCTGGCAAATAGCTCAGGACTTGAAATGTTGAGCCCTGCTAAGAGTATAGATAAATAGCTAATTTTCTAAATGATGCAGGCATGAATGGCATATCACAGGGTTCTGTCTTGTGGCCAATGCCATTAAACCTGTTTATATACTGTGCAACGGTTGGTATTTATACAAGAGTTACAAAGCAGCCACCGCTCATACTGCTTGTTCTGAGGTCACACAGCCCCATCCCTCTCGTCGGTGCAGGCAAAAAAAGGCACGCTGCAGCACTGGTTCTCACAGAAACAATTGTCGCAGAAACGACTGATATCACAAGCTGCACAATGTCTATTCGCAAAGTCAAAACATGCTGTAAACACAGTCGCCTCCAACTCTAACATGTTTCACCAAATGGCTTATTCATAGACATATGAATATAGATATCTATAACTAAGCTGTTTGAAGAAATATGGTAGAGTTGGAGGAGCCCGTGTGTGTTTAGAGCATGTTTTGCCTTCGGAAATAAACATATCCAGCTTTTGATATCAGTCCTTTGTGCGGCTAGTGTTTCTGTGAGGTTGGTATTTATAGTTCAATTTAATTGTTTGCAAATTATATCACAATATGCAGGGTAATAAACTTACCATGGAACATAGAAACGTTGCAGGAAGACCTCGGGGGACAGCTACATGGCAGATGATGTTCAATATTGAGAAATGTAAAGTTATGCATTCAGATGCTAAAAATATGTATGCAAGCTACTCAATAGGTACAACTACTCTGGGAAAACTGGTGATGAAAAAATATCACCAGTTTTTCAGACCACTGACTTAACAGTAACATGCAATACCAGGCTGCAGCTACCAAACTACCATCATGCATTAAAAAAGGTATCTTGACTTGATGGACTAATGTCTTTATTCAACCTCAAATACTATGTAACTATGTAACTATGTAACTATGTATCTACTCTAAAGATGAATCCATAATTTTGCCTCTTTACAAAACACTGGTTTGGCCTCATCTTGAGAATGCAGCAAGTTTTGGTCACTGATCCACAGGAATGATGTCCTTGAGCTTGAGAGAATCCAGAGAACTGTAACTGAATTAATAATGGGGCTGGAGAACCAAAGCTATGACGAACAAATACAAAAATTGCACTTATTCACTCTTAAGAAGAGTCAATTAAGACAGTATATGACTATTGTTGAATGATGACAGTAGAATCAGTAATAAACGGTTTAGTCCAAGGTACCTAAAGAAGTCAACAAGCCACCGCCTTAGACTGGAGTAAAAAAGGGTTAATCCCAAACTGCGAAGGGAATTCTTTACTGTTAGAGCAGTACAATTGTATAAATCCCTTCCCCAGGTAGTTATGTTAGCTGAGAGTATAAAAAAAGCATTAGATGATTTCCTCAGTGAATACAATATATAGGGGCAGGGGAGTGGAATTGCTAGCGCCCGACACCCGGGACATGCAGTTTCCGGTGCAGGGCGAGTAGTTTTTTTGTACATTTAACCCTGCTTCAGACAAGCAGAGGTAAATGTACAGCGGGGAGCTGCCGCTCGTTTAGTACAAGTGATCTGATAACTTCTAGCAAACGAGCAGCGGCGATAGTGTCCGCCCGAACTCCCCCACCGTGTTTTTTGGGGTCCCCCGCACCTCTGGGGGACCCGAGACTATGACACAACGGCTCAGCCATAGAGAGTATAGAGCAGACGAAGAACGCCCATTCTTCGTCTGCTCTGTGAGATCACTGAGACCAGAGCACTGTAATCACAGCGCCACCTGTCTTAGCTGTCAGGAACTGCACAGAACATCTGTTCTGTGTTGGAGGGCAGGTTCCATAAAGAGAACCTATCACCTCCAAATTACCACATAGGAGCTTGTAAGACCCTATGTGATAGGAATAAATATAAGTGATAAGTAAAAAATAAAATATATAAAAACCCGCTATCGGCATGCAAATAAACGCACGTGTAGGATATTGTGCGTGTGCATTGAGTGCTGTCGCAGAACTCTCTTACCCTTTAATGCACATTGTATGTGTGCAAATTCTCTTTCCCAGGTAATATGGGAAAATGGAATTACCTGATGAAATCTGGCCTCTAACCCTAACCCACCCTCCCCTTCCCCCACCGGCTATACTTACCTTTTGGCGAACAGTCCCTCCCCTCCGCCAGTACGGGTGTACTATCTGTACCCCATACTGCTGTCCAGTGCAGTCCTGCCCTATGCATTTTGAATTTTGCTCGCAAATTGCTAGCACTCATTGGTCAGTGTGGTCAGGTGACCGTGCTGACCAGTGAGAAGCGCTATTTGGTACAGTCAAATACGTATTGACTAGGGATGCACCGATACTAGTATCAGTGCCGATACAGAGTATTTGGGCGAGTACTTCACTGATACTGGAACTTACGGGCAGTGGAAAATTTTCTTCTGACCGGCAGTGCCGTAGGGGAACATGGAGCCAGCTCCCGATGCAATCAGGAAGCCGTGCGGCAAGTAATGACCCGCATAGATAAATAATTGGGCACTAGTAAGCAATGTCAAGCAGCAACCAGCAAAGCAAACATGATACTGGGGTGCATTAAAAGAGGGATTGTAGCAAGGGATAAGAGAGTAATTCTTTCACTTTTCAAGTCACTGGTTTGGCCTCATCTTGAGTATGCGATTCAGTTCTGGTCGCCGACTCTCAGGAAAAAGAGGTCCTCAAACTGGAGAGAGTTCAGTGAAGGGCTACAAAATTAAAGGAATGGAGGGCTTGAGTTATGAAGACCGCCTTCAAAAATTTAACTTATTCACCTTAGAAAAGAGAACAATTACAAGGGGACCTCATTAATGTCTACAAAATAATCAATGGGGACCAAAATATTCAAACAAACTGTTGAGTCCGAAAACTGTATTGAGAACCTGGAGACCCAAAATGAGGTTAGATAAGAGGAGATTCAATTTTAGGATTCGTAGGGGGTATTTTATTGAGAGAGTAGTGAAGTTGTGGAATTCCTTTCCGTAGGCAGTGGTATCCGCTGATGGCATAGATAAATTCAACAAACGTCTTGATGAGTTTCTTCTTTCACTCAATTTACAGGGATTTGGGAAGTGTTAGAGCAAGATAAATACAGCTACACATTCACATACACACATAGGTTGAACGTGACAGACCCTTGTCTTTATTCAACCTTACCTACTATCATATGTTACAATGCAAGCAGTCCTCATAGAGGAAAGGTAACAATTGAGGCAGAGGCAAATGAGGTTTTGTTTATTTCTGCTGGTAAAGAGAATTTGGCAGTCAGAGGCCTTGTTCACACCAAATGCACCAAATGCGTGTGCATGAGTTTCTGCACACGCAGTGTGTTTTTTTTTTAAAGTTTAAAATGGGCTTATAGTGCGTTTGCATGCGTTTGTATGTGTTCCAGAGCAGGTAAAATAGGGCTTGCTGCAGTTTTTTTACATGCTCTGGAACTGAATGCTGCGGTGTGAACTAGAGCCCAAAATACCATTGGAATACATTGGACACAGTTTTGATCCGGTCTGTAACAGATCTGCTCTGCTCCTGGAACGCACTTGGTGTGAGCAAGCCCTAATGGAGAAGATCTGCCTTCCTGCCCTCAGGTACCAGCTGACATCGTTTAGACCCTGTCTAGCATACTACACCAGCTTGCTAGCAGTATTTCCATCTTCCTCCTGCCTGATCTTCACCATTTAAAGGGCATCAGTGTGGTGCTGGTTGGGCTTAGAGGTGCAGACCTTTAGCTGAACTTTAGGCAACCATGCTAAATACATAGATAAAACACATAACTGGGAGCTGTTTTACCAGTTGTTTTTCCTGCCAAATAATTTTTACTTTTCCGATTCACCCCCGAGATTTACACTGCCACACCACACAGCAAAACCAGGTGGATACACTTCTTTTTGTGTCAGTTAAGGAATACAGTGGTGTAATCTCCACATCCCCAGTCTGCTGACTAGACAGTGAAAAAACAGCCGTAGACTGATGAGATAAACCCTCTGCTCACCCAGCTTTCTCCTTCTATCAGCATGTTACTGTTTCCAGTATTTCCCCTCACTCTCACAGTCTTAATGCTATTGTACAGGGATTGCAAGAAACTGGAACCAAGTCAAATTCAAGTCCCTGCATATAACAAATTGCATTTAAAAACATAGGTAATGATTAATGAATATACAGCAGCAATAATTTGTTTCTTTTATATTAGTCTGGAGTTAAGCTTTAAAGTTACATGCTAGGAAATGCAATACCCCTATAGTTGTAAAGTTCCTCCCCATGTATGCTCAAACTATAATGCGTTTCACCATTCTGGCTTACTCAGAGATCTCTACGAGTAAGCCAGAATGGTGAAACACATTAGGGGTTAAGCATACACGAGGAGGAACTTTACAGTGTGTTTTTTCTCCACAAATACTTTTATTTTTGGTAAAGACCCTGGGAGTGCGGCAATTTTTGGATGTAGATTTATTACAAGGTTACAGCATAAGTGAAATTCCTTCCTCAGATGCAGTAGCACTGCAACAGAATACCACCTGACCAACTATTAATTATGCAAAAGTTTAGAATGAAAATCTGTTCAGTACCATTATATAATCAGTATATTCAGCATCTTCAGTAATAAATCTGTCACAGAACTTAAACTGTAGTACTTAGCTGCCTAGGAATACAGACACACACAGGACTGTAAACCTGTCACAGAGACTTTGCTGAAGGGAAGGCAGCCTCTAATTTACCTGACAAATGTCCTCTGATGTTTCTTTGTTTATAAAGTAAAGAAAGGGTACATTAATGCAGTATATATGCCTATTATATAATTAGTGTAGTAACAGAAAAAATTAATGTCAGCTATAGGAATGAGAACTTTCTTTTCAAACCTTAAACGTGATTTCAGCTAAACAGCGTGTGCACTTGATATAAAAGCGAAAGATTGGCAGTTCCAAATACTTCTCATTCTGTACAGTTTCTTTCCTGGCATTGAACTTCTTTCCTTTGTAGATATACTCTCCACAGGTTTTACACCTGTAAAAGCCATACAAAAACAAAAAAAAGCAAATGCATGTCAGAAATTATAAAGATATATCACAATAAAGATTTATGATAGATCATGATTAGATGTACTAATAATTCCTTTTAAAAATAAATCCATGATGACTCAGAATGACTGTCAACAAACTCAAAGTGTGAAGAAGATAGTCAAGTGTTTACTATCCCGCTGCCCATGCCACAAAACACCAATGTAATTAAGAGAAATTGCCGCCTGAAAACCATTCAGGAACAGACTCAGGGGAGAGTCTATTTTCTGATCCCCCACTGCACTCAGTGGTTCTTCTCACCAACCCCAATGTTGCATATCCCCGCGAACGTCGGAGTGTGAGCAATCATTTTAGGGCCATTAATCCCTGATAACACTAAACTGATGAGCAGTAAAAGCGTTTAAAGCGTCGCCTATGGCCAATTTTCGGTGTGGTTGTTTTTTTTGCGTTTTTGCTGGTATGCGCAATTTTAAGGTTTGACATGTTTGGTGTCTATTTACCCGACGTGACCCCGACTTTTATATTTTACCAAAAATATGGGTAAGAATAGATGTTTTATAACATAATGTAGGATTTTTTTTTTTACATTTACTGTACTTTTTTCATTATATAGTAAAAAATAACCCCCCCCCAGTGGTGATTATACACCACCAAAAGAAAGCTCTATCTGTCTCAAAAAAAATGTTAAAATAATTGTAATATCAGTATTGGAGTTATAAATTAGTAGTAATTACACAGTTCAGTAATCCACAGTATAGGATATAGGCAATAATCATCAATGGTTATCTCCAGGTATTTATAGCACAGTATACCTCATAGGAAATAAGCAGCAGGCTCTGTTAGGAGTCCCCACTAGGTGGTGCTGTTCCCCAAGTAATCCCCACCTCTAGTTATAACGATCAGGATAACGTTTAACAGGACGACCCAGGCTACTTGCAGTTTCTGGATGTCAGCAGAGTGAGACGACCCAGGCTACTTGCAGTTTCTGGATGTCAGCAGAGTGAGACGGAAACCCACGATGCAGGAGTGGTTGAGCTGGAGACTGAGAGCAGCGTCTTCAATGGTGGAGAGATCCGTGACAGCAGGAGAACCAGCACAGCATGCACTGCACTATAGAAGGACATCACCGGACTCCTCCCCCCTTCCCTTCGTTAGCCTAGGGAGCCACTCGGGGAAGGGGGAGGAGTCTAGTGACATCATGGACATCCCGGAAGCCGGCGGAGAGGTAACGATCAAAAAAAATGTAATCGATCAAAAAAATTAACGATTAATCGAGGAATTAATCGTTAATTTCCGTAGCCTTAATATATAGATAATATATCTATATATAAATATAGCGGAAAATGTATTCATACTTACCGTCATGTTCTTTTCCTGGTTATATGGCAGCGCTGACAAATGGGTTAGCTCCTATTTTCCCCTAGGTAACAGGAACAAGAAAGGGTTAAAAGACTCCAGCCCATATAAGCCCCTCCTCTTCCTGGGCTCCCTTGTCGAGTCACAAGCTAAACTGTCCCGAGGGTGGGAGCCCAGCGCTGCCATGGAGTATAACCAGGAAAAGAAAATTACGGTAAGTATGAATACATTTTCCGTTTTCCTGGCCATATCCATGGAAGCGCTGACAAATGGGGAATACACAAGCAAGGAAAGGGTGGGAAAAATAAACCATACAACTAAACACATTGCATTCTGAAACATTTATTATGTGACCTAATGGCGAGAAAGCAACACACTTCTGCCAAATTGGTCGTTAATCGCAGCTCTAACATCCAGTCGGAAATGTTTGACGCTGGATGTTAGATGTTGCCGCATTAACGATCTGGTCAGCAGAAACACACACTGCTGCTGCCCATGAAGAAGCCATAGCCCTAGTGGAGTGAGCTCTGATCCCCTCCGGTGGAGAGATTCCTGCCGCCCGATAGGAGTTAATGATGGTGGATACGATCCATCTGCTTAAAGTCGTGTTAGTTGCCGCAAGTCCCTTTTCCGCTGGGATAACGAATAGTCTCTTGAACTACTCCCACTCTCTGCACTGCTCCACATATATGTGCAAATATCGGACCAAATCCAGAGATTTACCTGGGCCCTGTGAATCTATGGAAACTGGAATGGACTTCAGGCAGGAAATCAAGGACCGACCTCAAAATCACTCTGTGTTCTTGGAAACAGAGAAAAGGTTGCTCGCAACTGCAAGCCTGGAGTTTGGACACTATTCTACCCAAAGCCACCAAGGTGATGGTTTTGTATGACAGAAACTGCAGTGATACCTCCTCCAAGGGTTCAAAGGGTGCTCCAGAAAGCTTCGCCCACACAAGAGGAAGATCCCAAGATTCCCTTTAGGAATCCAGCAATATTGGCGTCTTGCGACCATCTGATACCGGTGATTGCCGAAATATCCGATACCTGCACTGTAAGAGAACTGAGGCTCAAATTCTTATCCAGACCTGATTGCAGAGACTCCAACATCATTTGGGAAGAAGGCTGAGCTGAAATCAACACTAATGTCCTTAGCACATGAGGAAAAAACAGACCATATCCTACAATATGATGCGGAAGTGGGCATCTTCCTTGATTGCAACAGGGTATTGATGATAGACCGGGAAAAACCCTGACTTCGTCAACCTTTCCCTCTCAACAGCCATGCCGTCAGCTGCAGTTCCTGCGGATTCGGGTGCAAGACCCTGAAACAGTAGGTCCGCCACCCCTGGAAGAGTCCCTGGAGGTTGAATGCTCAGAGACAACAGGAGAGGAAACCATGGCCGTCTGGGCCAATATGGGATTATGGCAATGACTGTCGCCTTCTCCCTGCGCATTCTCTGAAGCAATGGCATGATCATTGAAAAAAGGGGGGGACACAGGCGCAAGTGTGCAGTCCCATGGATGTAGCAGCACGTCCTGGCCTTCCGCACCCCGGTTGTACCTTCTTGACAGGAATCTGCTGACTTCGCAATTGTTGCGGGAAGCCCTTAGGTCCACCTCCGGCTTGCCCCATCTCTGCCTGTTGAAAACTGTTCGAGATAGGGGCCATTCGGTCAAGTCTACCTGGTTCCTGCTCAAGTAGTCCGCTATTTGGTTCATGGGCTCGGTAGGTACACCACCCTTATCCCTATCAGATTCCGTACTGCCTACTACTACTACCTAATTCATCAACGGAATTAGGATTTGCATCATGCTGGGGCTCCTCGTCCCCCCTTGAAGATTCAGATACACTACCACCATGGCATTGTCCACCATGACCTTGACCCATTTGTCGTGGACTTTGTCCTAGAAATAAAGAAGCGCCTGGAACACCGCCTTCATCTCCAGAAGATTCGAAGATTTGTTCTTCCATCTCTGCGGCCACACCCCCTGTGCATACTGACCGTCCAGGTGGGCTCCCCAGCCTGAACCGCTGGCATCTGTGGTAATGGTCAACCATGGAACATCTCCCAATGGAAACCCCCTGAGCAAATAAGCCTCCTGGGAACACCATTCCAGTGAACTCCAGACACCGGGAGATACCCTGATCCATTGCTCCGATACATGTATTGTATTGTGTGAGAAAAGACTTCTGAGCCACCCTCATATTCCATTGTGCCCACCGAGTAAGACCTATGGTTGAGGACATGGAGCCCTACAGGCTCATGAAGGATTCGGCTGTGACTTGTGCACTGGTCCAGACCGTTTTTACCATGTCCCTTATCCTGTGGAATCTGTCCCTGGAAAATTGAACCGTCCCAAATTTGGTGTTGAATTCCGAGGGAGCTCAGGAAGAGGAGGCGCTTATATGGGCTGGAGGGGGTTAGTCTTTTAACTCTTTCTTGTTCCTGTTACCTAGGGGAACATAGGAGCTAATCCATTTGTCAGCGCTGCCATGGATATGGCCAGGAAAAACCCATGGCTATGGTGTTGAGATTGTATAGTCCTAAAGTCTGACCGATTTTGTTTTTGTACTTGACATTTTTGGGGGGCTAATGCACCTTTTATGGGTGATAATTCGATTTAAATCGATGAATTTTGATTAATTATAACATACATACAGATCCAACTACATTGGCCTATGCACATACAGCACAGCAATGAAGTAATAAAATTAACTAGGATTACACTAATCCGGCACGTTATTAATCCCACGTGCCCCACTCAATATGGCCGCCGCTTGAGTGGGGCAACTCAGAATAATAACGTGCTGGATTAGTGTGATCCTAGTTCATTTTATTACTTAATTGCTGTGCTGTATGTGTACAGGCCAATGTAGTTGGTTAAACTTGGTAGTAACACTAGGTAGTAACCTCGTTCAGAAGTCACCACACAGATCGTGAGTAATATCAGTATTGGAGTTATAAATTAGTAGTAATTACACAGTTCAGTAATCCACAGTATAGGATATAGGCAATAATCATCAATGGTTATCTCCAGGTATTTATAGCACAGTATACCTCATAGGAAATAAGCAGCAGGCTCTGTTAGGAGTCCCCACTAGGTGGTGCTGTTCCCCAAGTAATCCCCACCTCTAGTTATAACGATCAGGATAACGTTTAACAGGACGACCCAGGCTACTTGCAGTTTCTGGATGTCAGCAGAGTGAGACGACCCAGGCTACTTGCAGTTTCTGGATGTCAGCAGAGTGAGACGGAAACCCACGATGCAGGAGTGGTTGAGCTGGAGACTGAGAGCAGCGTCTTCAATGGTGGAGAGATCCGTGACAGCAGGAGAACCAGCACAGCATGCACTGCACTATAGAAGGACATCACCGGACTCCTCCCCCCTTCCCTTCGTTAGCCTAGGGAGCCACTCGGGGAAGGGGGAGGAGTCTAGTGACATCATGGACATCCCGGAAGCCGGCGGAGAGGTAACGATCAAAAAAAATGTAATCGATCAAAAAAATTAACGATTAATCGAGGAATTAATCGTTAATTTCCGTAGCCTTAATATATAGATAATATATCTATATATAAATATAGCGGAAAATGTATTCATACTTACCGTCATGTTCTTTTCCTGGTT